ACCGGGACATCTGGTTTATGGATTTTTGGTAGACCGTGAATCCATGGTTAGACTGCGCTTTTGGGTTATCTTGACCTAAGTGGTTTATCATGGACCACAACTGCCTACCGAATTCAATTTTACTCCTGTTTATTATAGAATTAATATTACCACTGTCGATCCGCCGGTAAGAGGTCTCAGCTCGGTGCTGCTTGGCCTTCAGTAAATAACCGCACTTGATCATGACAACACTAGCCTTACCCTTATTCGTCTTTGTAATCACCATGTTGTCCATTTGTTTTTTTTTGGTGGGGAGGGGCGCTTGATGTTCTCCCCTCCTCTAGTGTAGTATATGGAACTTCTGGCTTCTGAGTCTTGAGCAATGTAACCAGCTATATTCGTAGCTTTTTCGCCTTCATTGACAGAGGTTTTTGAAAAAAATTCAGCGCTAGGGATTGCTTTTTCCGCCCTTATTACCCTTTTACCTACCGCTAATTTCAAGCCCTTCTCTAACGGACAACGCTGTTCTTCACACGCCAGTCTAGTTGATAAATTTATCAAGCTACAATAGCTAGCAGATGGCTAACGCTTCGTCATGGGCTCACTAAAATGCCGAGTCTTGGAAGTTTGATTTTCGAGCTTTGAAGTGTTGTATTTGAATGGCCTTTATTTCTCTCGCTTTGGTTTTGAGTACCTCGAATTATGAGGGCGAAAGCACTGTATGAAGATTCTGGTTGAGCCGATATGCGTGGTGACGAATGTCAGATAAACGCCGAGTAGTCAAGTATGCTGCCTGTTTGACGAATGACTTGGCCTCTGCGAATGCTATTCGGGCGGAAGCGAGTGACGTGTTTGGTGGCTTAATCAGTAAAGTTGTGGTGACTAACTTGTGCTTCGAACATCTTTCATTGAATATGCGGTGTTCCTTCCAGCGTGCCAACTGTCACGTACTTTATGAACCTCGAGTACAAAAACTGCTGCAATATGACCTACAAGGATCACTGTGCGAATACAAGTTTTAGTTACGCTTTTTGGAGAGGATCCGTTTATTGGTAAGACCTAGGATTACGCCGGAACACTGCAGTAATTGATACGCACGTGTCTACAAGGTGAGCAAGGGATCTTGGACGTTAAGATATCTAACGAAGACTTTTTACTGGTACATACATACGTGACCACATACATTACCACTCTGCTGTATGTAATTTGAACGCAGGAAGCATAAAATTGGTAAACACAGTTAAATTTTATTGTTTATGAGCTAATTAGGTGGCCCACAAAATACCATGCAGCCGTAGTTTCTTCAAAGTGGGTTGTGTGGCGCGAATAAGTGTGTGATTTAGGTCCGAATCACTCGGAATTTAAAAAGTCAGTAATTAATCCATGTCATACAAAGTCATCTCAGTGCGTTATACCGTTAGTCGGAAGATGGTATAGTCTATGAAAGAATGATTTGTGGTCACTAAGATTTCTCAAAGTTTGCTTGCTTAGCCTCCATCGGTATGTGGGTGGGTGCCATCAGTGAAACTATGCGACGGAGCAATCCTTGTTAAGCTAATGACAATGAAATTGGGATAATTAGATGTGACGGTACCATATATTGTGTGACAACCAACCCGCGCTGCCATCAGCTAAAGCAAGTCGAATAAAAACCGAGAAGAAACCTTACTTGCTAAGATCACACAAGAGGAATGTGCCCACACACTATCTAGCAACTCCAGTTGTGGTGGAATGCATCACCATATGACTTCCTGAAGTGAACAGTACATGTGTGTGCAAGTTCCTCCACAGGAGATCTTGTCGTCGGACCAAATTTAGCACAGAATTTACGCTAGCCACTCGGGAACTTTGAACAGTGATCGAGCTTCCACGGTCCTTCCCGCAGACTGAATTTTCCTGCTGGTTAACAGTCCACGCGAGGTAGTCAACTGTTCATTTCACTATGAAGCCAGAATACGCACAAGGGGAGTATGTGGTAAGCACACCCATCTTTGTGCTGGAATTACAGTGAAAAAAGGGATCTCTGCTGGCTAGCCTCACATGACTCTAGAAGCACCATATGATTGTGTTGAAGCCATCGAATACTCACAGCCCTCGCTGCAGACTGGTCGAACGTTCTGGAGTCATTCGCCGTGAAAGTACAAAACTGCCAAAACCACTGCCTGAATGACACTCCACAGCTTACTCACATACCGAAACCTTTAGATAAAGTGTAGTCCAAGCACAATCATTTATCCACCCTCCGAATGCACGTGCCTTATCACTCTATCTCCGAGACCTTTGAAGGAAGTAACCAGCTTAGGTTGCCGGTCTGGTCGTCTATTGTCCTGGTGTGGTGCCATAGAATTTTAAATCTGTCATAGTTCTGAACTTGGATTTCATTGGTGAGTGCAATAGTCGTTGCAAAACGCACAATTTCGGCGCAAACGGGGACAACTGAAACTTAAAATCCAGAGTAAAAAAAAAGAAATGCATAATGTGTTGCTCGAAATGAAAGGGGTATAGATCTGTAAACACCAACACGGTCGTTTATAGGTAACCAGATTAAACCTTTTGTTGATTAGACGGCTTCATTCTTTCTGGCCTCCCCACACATGACCTGACGAGCTACTCTGTAGAAGGTTGGTAGTGTCTAGAGCGCTACCAACTGGTTCATGCGACCAAGATGAATGGTGAATAACTATTACTTCTTCACTACGCCAATGCCTGAACGATATTGGGAGCTGATAACGATTGACATTCACTACAACTAGAAACTGACAAATGACCCTAAAAATTGCCCAATCACCTCTGGAAATCCAGTCTGTATCGTACGTACAAAGCAGCTTTGGTCACCTGACACATTCACGTAGATCGTTTCCTCTACTCAAGACCTAAAGTCTAGGATGGGTTCACCTAACACCAGGCAGTTCTAAACTGCAGCCAAACTTCCAGCATTAGCTACCCAAACGTTCTATAAGACCCCGAAATGCTAGTACGTCCGAAACGTGCTAGACGTAGGAGTAACCACTTCACAACAAAATGCAAGCTTTTTTTACTTTTTATTAGTAAAACTATCACGTTGTCACAAATCACTAAAATTGAAAAAAAATTCGCTATATAAATTTCATCACTACTCCGTGACTCTCTTCTCAAACTCGAGGATCTCGTGGAAGATGCGAACAACCTCATACGCTAAATTTACTGGGATTTCGGAGCAGTTTCTGGTGAGGTTCTAGTCCGGAACAGAATCCAGTCAATGAAATGAACAAATAATATTAAATAATAAGTATGATTTCATGAAGTAAGCACTGCATACAAGATCAGTGTTATGCCCGTGGACAAAATTGTCTTCGAATAAGTTTCGTTGCGATGAAACCTATGTTCAGTTTCTACCCAACGTTATCAGACGACCCTCCTCGTAAAAATCGCCTACAATTGACCCTCGAGACACCGTGGTGATTGAGTTAAGTAAAAAAAGAATCAATTATTTCCTGACGTCCTGTCAGTATCAGGCTATATGACATTCCAGACTTGAATTGAACTTATCTCTGTACATCAATACTGTCTCCATGTTTGTTCTCTTCCGCCTTCACAACAGGTGGACTGAGGTCAAAACTAAATCCCCTCCAATCCTGCGGCGATTTGAATTACCAACTCTTGCTGTTTTTGGTCTTACAGTTTTCAGAGTTCCGTGATTTTCTAAGTTGAAAATTCACTGCGCATACTGAGACTTCGTTTTTCTGGTAAGAAAGAATTAAGGTGCAGTCTTTTACATGTAAAACGAATTCACCTAACTGAAATGTTTTCCTACAGCTGCGAGGTCCGTATATCTTATTAGTCGCATTTGCTTACCAATTGGAAACGGCCCTGAGAAGTCAACTAGCTTTGCCAGATGCTTTTATCCTAACCCATTTCGGTTTTTCTAAGCTGTACTTTGCAAGATTGATGAAAAGAGTGTTATCGGCTGTTTTCATCTATTCAGTTTTGTTTTGACCTGCCCGATACTCATACCATTCTCTTGAGCGAAAATGTTACCTCACTCAGGTTCCATCGATGTTTAGTCAGATGTCGTCCGTTATCCGCTTCAAATGAACTGTCCGTCAGCTCATCCGGGAAACATGTCGCTTCAATGAACCTCACAATAGATTGGGGAACATTCAAGAACTGAGGAGTTGAAACTCACTCCTTGCTATGGAGATGCAACCGAACAAACGCTGCAATAATACTGCGCTTCTACACAGTACTTACAAATCACAGTTCTCCGAAGAACTTTCTGTGTTACGTGAAAAACACACCTGAGAGATCTCTTCGAACAAACAAGGTATAAAAGCAAAGAATATGTATATTCACTACATGCATTGTTGAGAACAGTGAAGTTTTGAAACAGATTACATCGATTTCCAGGGAAAGAGTGCTATTACAGATATTCTATCAAGCAGCTATTTGGATGCTAGCACGTTTCGCACCGAGAGATAAAAGATGGGATTTATATTTCGCAAATTTCATCGATCTCGAAGCAATCACACAACTGCCATCACGACGTTTTTAAGCGTGTAAGGTGGGACGAACGCCCTACGACAGTCCAGAAGGATGTATAGAGATAAGGGCTTAGTTTCTGCAGTAAGATGAACCTACGGAAGTGATTACCGTGTCCTCACCAGGCGATTTAAAATCAGAATCTAGCAAACGCAACAGAAAGAAAATATCCCCTTATGAGATCATAGGGCCACATGAACAGATGAATCGTACCCGCAGAGGAATGCGCATTGTCCCAAAAAAGTATAAATCATACTTATGTTAGTTGCTGAGCCAACCGAGGTCTACCCGAAATCAATCTTTTTGGACTAGGTCGTGTGTTTACCGCCTGACTAGCGAAAGTTAACTTCTTAAAAGAAAATCGAGTTTATTTTTTGTAGCTTACCATTATTACTTTTCTGTTAATCTGGATTTGTCAACAAAACACGGACCTAAAATGCCCCACAAAGGCTGTCACATACTCAACTTTGACAGCCTGCAAAAATCAGTTCAACTAGGCTTACTTTTTGCTTCCGTTCCACTGTAATCACCGCCCCAAAAGGTACTGGAAACATCCTCCTTGGGTGAAGCCATCTTTGAAGGAAGGCGTGAGAACTTTGGTGTTACGACAATAGCTTCCGTGATTCTCAGTACATCTTCATTCTCATCGTCCTCGGACGAGGACTCACTTTGTGGTTGGAAATCCGTGGATCGGTGGCGCTGACTTTTGGATAGTTTTGTTCGTTTACGTGACAACGTTGGGCATTCGTCACTATCTTGATGAACGTAAATATTTGGGGTATGCTGATCAGGCAATTCGAAATCACTACAAGCCGTGGTGTACATGTCGTCACTTCCGGTTGTATTAAACCGGCTAGCGACTGTCACGTAGGAATCTGCTTCACTTAAAACACTCTCTTGGCTTAACATGGAGACAACAGAATGCAAAGAACCGGTCACTGAACCATCACCATTGCGCATATATCCACGAAGCGAACCAGCGGAGATGGGACGCTGCTTGACTGGCGACTCGCCCGTACCTGCCCGCTTTGGTCTAAGTACAACCACATGATCATATGCTTTATGTGGGTCTGAGCCATCAATGGTGCTGGCCTCACCAACAAAAGGACGTTCCGCATCAGATGTGCTTTTGAGGGAGGTTGATTTAATCCTGTATTCTGTTGTATACATCATCTGGTTATCATCGTCTGTGAACACATTGAGTGGACCTGGTGTGGATTCACCGGAGGTTTTGAATCCAGGTTCGATCGATCGGCCGGAATTGACTTCCATAATCACGTTACTGGACGTGACCAAGTTGGCTTGATCTGATGGCTGGTGGCTATGTGTGGATAAATCCATATCAGAGGAAGAAAAGTCATCTTCGATTTCTTCAGAAGCTTCGTCTATTGTGGTCAAAGCATGCCCGTTGTCGTATACTCTATATTCTTCAGGGGTTAAGGGCTTCACTGATGGGTCATTAGGAGCAAACTGGAAATGTCCAGATTCGTCTTTGGTTACAAGCATATTGTTCAGGTTGACACCTTCTGTGACATAGTTTTCAAAGGTCGGCGATACGGCCGGCGACAGACTACCGGCAGAATCATCGTCTGGCTCGAACTGATGTAAATCTATGTCATCCAGATCAGTCTCTTTGGCCGGATGATTACAATGTTGCTTGGGACTGTAGGGGGTTGTACCACTGGTAAATTCATTAGGAAGTCGAACTGATTCAAAAGGGTCGTGAACGTTGAAATCTGATGGGGATCTCCAGCTCTTATCTCCTATTTGTTCTGAAGACGCCCCCGCAACGTTGCATTCTAAAAGCTGATCGTCATTGTACTGAGGGGTAAAAGAAGTTCGTGATTCGCGTATTTGTATATCCATATATTCATCTCTAAATGCCTCTTCGGCACCGGAAATAACATTTGCTAGAATATCTGGCCTACAATTTTGAGGGTCTTGACCGCCATTTGTTGAAAATCCAAGTGCTGACGAGTTATTGCTTCTAACCTGCTGTCGTACACTTGGTGAAGTTCCATCCACACGAAGTAGTTCAACCGAACACTGCGTTTGGTCGATACGTGAGGTCAGTGCATCGATATCATGCCTGACTGACTGAAGAAGATGTTTCATCGAGTCATACCGAGCCTCACTGGCCTTGACCCAGTCGTCCTCAAAGCTATCTTTGGATGCTTTCTTTGATTCTGGCTCCATCTTGAGGAACTTAGTAGAGGGGATTTTTCCAGTCTACACGAGGCTTCTTATTTCCTTTTACAAACAGTTTCCAGTACAGATTCAACAGCGCCATGATCGCAATTTCATCAGCGTACATTAAATGTACACAGCTGAGGGATGGTATGCTGAACGCTGCGGCTGATCACAGACTGCGCGTTTTTCTAGTGATTGCAATGGACGCAATAGACCAATGAATAGTAAGCCTTCTGTTGATCGATTCAACGCTTCATGCACGTAAACAGACGTAAATTAACAGTGTAGTAACGACTTGGAAATATTCTGGTGTCAGATTGACCTCAATAAACGTTCACACTCTGATCCCTTCAGAGCATCAAGAGCTCTTGCTTCCTCTGTTGGGAATTCCTTAAGAAAGCTGGAAGAGTATGGCAGACGAGGTATGATTCGTTACAGACCTCTCAGTTTTCTCGTCAGATCGGTGGTGGAGTCTTCCGGTTAGTAGCACAAACCTGGAAGGAAAATAGGTATGGAATTGTAGTGTGGCAATAAAAGGTCGGCTCATTCAACGCACAATGAGAAACTCCCAATTGTATGTACGAATTGATACCTACATTAACTTGAGGTACGAGTAAATGTACCACGCCAAAGCGTGAGGGTCTATCAAGATGAACATGTTATTGGATTCAGTCATTTAAACTCAGCAAGCCGCAAGAAAGAGGCTCAGATCAGAACCAGAATCTGTAGAATCTAAAATCCACTTTGTTTAATGTCACGAGTTTCCTAGATGCTTGGGCGACAGTTCAAAAACCGATGCTTAAATAGTTTCACTTAAGTAAACAGCACTTGATAAGAGAAATTTTAACAATTAACTGTCTATGAAATGACATAATCAGCCCGACAGTAAACAAATTTACACATCCAAGTACACATGCAGGATATTCACAGAATTTTTCAGTAGAACGTTTTATAATGGTTCAATTGTGACAGCCTTTCGATGGGTAGCTGCCTTGTAACACGGAGGACCCACGAAGGACGAGATACTCCCATGCCATATAACCACAAAAATGCATCTCCAACTCAGAATATACTAACTTGTCTGGTTAAATGGCATGAGACACGGTTAATCCGATGGGTTTAATGAAATTTGACTTTTGGATGACAAGCAGTAAGCTTTATCGAGGGAGATTAACCGAAAATGACTGGGGCTAGTTTCGTAATAAAGGGAGAATAGAGGTCGGAAATGTTCGAACAACAATTCTTCTAATTTCCCAAACACACTGAGATGGCCCAACTTCTGCCGTTCGTGAGGTAAATTGAACTTACTTTTGTTACTGTTAAATTTTATGGTTAATACAAGTTTTCCGGTGACCATTATTTCCGAGAGATCGGAGGTAAATAATCATCTGGTGATATTCTGTGCTCAACGAGACTTGAGACGTCGGATGTGGGATTTGTCAGCACTTTAAGTGAATATGAAACTATGAATATAACTTTTGTTTTGCAGTGATTTGTGAACTTACGGAAAAAACCTGCGCTAATTGGAATTTAGAAGCGGTGTGCGTTGTTCTTTCATAGAGCTTGGTGTTGCGTTTTGTTTTGACAGCCAGCCAAATGTTAGTTACAAAATTTGGGATCAAAGCATTCGAAAGAAAACATACAGCAAAATATTTTTAACTAAGCTTCAAATCTTGGAACAACAATAGTTGTTATGTCTCGGTCGGTAGCTGACTTGTATTGTGCAGTTGTATTCTGTAATCTTTAAGATATCAACAGATTTCAACACATCCTCATGTAGCTCACATTGACGCAAATTCCGTGGCTGCTACAGGTTAGTACAATATTTTTTTAGTAAGATTCGCTTACTGGTGAAAAACGCTGACTAGACTCTATCAACAAGTCCATGAGCTTTCACGCATGTAGATTCCTTTTACAGATTGCTTCCGTGGGTGCGATACTTTTTGTCTCTGATGGTCTCTTTCCACAGTGACCTCGCATTAGTTCAACAGTATCAAAAGGTATCTAACTGAATGTTCCTTCACAAAATGAATTTTATGGAACTTTCGTTCTGTAAGTGAAGCCAACCTTTGCTGAGAACCCAAGAAGTGCTCCTTTGCTAATCAGCATCAATTGGCTTTAGTCGCAATGCGAAATCTCCACTAACGTTCCTAAACATCCTCAGGCTACCCGCAGTGAATTTTATTTTTCCACTTACGTCTATCGCTTTACTCAACGTTGTTGCTTTTATTCTGATATGGCACATATAACATATATATCTATAATATTTGTATCCTTCTGCATGGGTGATCAAACCTCTCTCTTACTGCAAGCGTAAACCGATCTCCCATAATACAAACAAGTATGAAGCCGGCGTTTCGCTCCCTGTCAATGTATCCCCTCGGAAAATATCAATGCGTAAGCTTCAAAACCCCTATCAGGGGGAGATGGACACCTCGGAAAAACTGATTTGCATCGATCTACTGCTTCAACTGACCTATTTCGCATTTAAGGATAAGGCTTAGAAGCTCTGAGATCAGGAATTAAATAAAGATTGCTTCAAGAAGTAAATTACGACAGTAAAGCACCGGTGTTGAACACTCAGGTCGGGCTGTCGATGATGATGATGATGATGATGAAGTTAATGTTGATACGGGAAGACGAAAGGTACTTTCAACATAAGTGCCTCTGAATCATTCTTTTTTTCAACGAACTATCCGGAATGAACAAATGACCTGACACATGAGCGTTTCAATTCTCGGAATATGGCGGTGCATATACATATATATATATATATATATATATATATATATATGCACTCATTTTATCTAATCCTACTAGTACTGCGACCTAAACAGAACCTGGTTCACACTGTTTATGTTGCTTTCTTCGTTATCTGTCCAGATACCACAAAAGTGGGGCAAATAGAAAGGTGTGAATGGTCGTTGGCCCGTTGGCTGAGCTGTGCAATTTGCTTGCTACCTGAGCTACCAACATTTTGCTTTTTAGAAAAATATTGAATATTCATTTGTGACAAGACGCTAAGCGCCAACTCCTCTTGATGTGTGAATTTATGGCAAGACCTTTTTATCTTCTTTTCCTTCAGGAACAGACAAGATCGCGTCTCCTTCGGACAATTTGTATGGTGAGATCGAATCGGCATAGCAAGTGTGTGGAAGATCCTCCCTGGCTATGTTTTTTCTACGATATAATCGTCTGCCTCACCAAGATCTGTACCGGTTCATCACACTGTAAAGTTGGACGAAACAACTTATTCCGAATAAAATTCAGGCTTAATCGATGTTGTCCTTGGTTTTATGAGAAGGCTTTGGTTCTAGTAAGTTCTTAGTAAAACCTAGCCTGTCGGACTTGCGCCAAATGTAGACAGCTATTACTCAGAATGTTGCCAGTAATGTTCGTCAAAGTTATTTTGGACAATTCAAGTCGATTATTTTGATCAAAGACCAGTAGAAATAAGAAGGAACCCACTTTACAGTTTGGATGAGATGATAACCAGGAGTACTTCTTTCCTGCTGAGTATGTATAATTCAAGCAAATCATTTTGTCTAAAAGTTCTTGCGGTAACCTTAAAAAACGATTGCCACTTCATAAGTTGTGTCACAGTGACTTCTGAGAATGTTTCTTTGAAGATTTTTAGGCATATGATGCACAAGGCTTAATTTGGGCTTGGTCAAAATCAATCTGTTAGGATATAGAGGGTGTTGGCCACACGCGGTAGAAGATATGTAAGCCGGCGCTCTCTTGGTTGAGTCTAGTAAAGCAAAAAACCAAGTTCATTGTTTGATCTGGGTTTTCATATTCGGAAGACGATGAAATTAATGCTTATTGCTTAATTTTTCGTCTGCAAGTAATATTTTTGCTGAACGTTGCGCAAGAATAAATACAAAGTGCACAGATTTGTGGCGTGCAAAGTAGCACATGATTTTTCAAGAGATAAGGAAACATGGTGGAAATAAAGCTGGATATTGATTGGTTTCTTGACCAAATGATGCGTGCACAAATAAGGATCTGAGTTACTAGTGTGCATCGGAGCGAACGAACTCGTCAGGTGGTCCCTAGAAAATCGAATTTTTCTGTTTCAAAATGTTAATATATTATTTCCCCCCTCTTTTGGTAAGTCTAAATAACATCTTGTCGACTGCTTGTCATTACTCTTCGTTCCAGTGATATGGAAATTCCTGCTGTTTCCCAAGTTATTCCGATGATCACATTGCGTTCAACCTATCTTCACCAGAAACGTTTAGTTGCTGCCCTTCATAAGGGAGTATTACTCATCCGTAGGTAGGTCGCTGCTGCAGTTCACTAAATGCTGAGCCTAATGCTCAGCAGGCACTTTGATGTCTGTAATGACCTTGCCTGGAAAACGCTAACTGACGGTCAGCACATTCTCCACCCAGCTTTAACTCCGGTCATATCGGCTACTTGTAATAACCTTAAATGCTAAACACAACCTGGAAGAATGTCAAACTAACTAAATTCAGTGTACCTACATGACATATTGATAATCCAGAATTGTTTCGAGACAAGAGCTTGTTGAGGCTTTTTAATTACTTTATTTCTTTTGGACAGTACTTCCAAGACTTGTTATATTATATAATTTCCGCCGCGAGTTTATATACTGAACATTAACCTCTAGCGCTATTTTCAAATTAACTTCGCTTTAGTTGCTACAGCAAAATGAGTATGTCATAAGGCAAGTGAACGCCGAATTGATTGCCGCTCTATATCTTATCAAAAACCGGAAGGACCAAATCGGAAAGCGACAGTCCGCTGAATACACCCACATAATCAAGTGATGGTTACAAAATAAGCGGCACAAGCTTAAATTTGTACTCCAAATGTGATCAGTAAAGATAGTGGGTGTCTCCTTAGGGATTCCACAACAGTTATTCCCATCAACCGCTTTCCTCATCTCCCGTATAGCATGGTTTCTTGTCTAGAGCTAAAGGGGACAGTAGGTTAGTGTCTCACCATAACAACATCAAAAACGTCCGGGAATTTCGGCCATATCAGGAAGAAGAACGGATTTACACTCCAATACACGCGCACAACCACAAACTCCGGTTGGTGGAAGCTGATGGGAGAAATGGCTCGCTAGAAGAAGCAGTGCCTCGCTTTGTTGCGCAACGTTTTCTCTTGGGATTTTCGGTATTTTCCGTCAAATCGGACGTCACCAATGCCTTGTTAGGTTGGTGTACACGAATTTTAACTCCATCAGAACAACCACTTTGTTTGTTTATTCAAATTGATTTTACATCACTTTCCGGATAAGAAGCAGAAAATAATCCACTACCGGGTGAAATAATGCCAAGCTAGGCTCCGACTAAACAAGTTAATTGCCGTTGCCTTGTTTATGTCACTCCCAATGTTTAGTATTAGACTTCCTTTCTAACAGTGCGTATAATTTAACTGAAATAGTTTTTTAATGCTTGAACGAAAGGGTATTGCA